CCATTACCAGCTTGCAGTAGAAGTATTGCAGAGTTGGAAAGCAGAGGAGGAAGGTCTGGAAAGTTCAGGAAGATACTGGAAATCTTCCCGTGAGAAACACATCATTTTCATGCACATTGGTCACTTGAGAGGAACAGAGGAAAAAACCAAAACCTTTGGCACTGAGTCATTCACACTATACTAAGAAAAACACTTGCAACTCTACTCCAGGGAGTAGCTTTACACTAGAATATGGAAGCACTGGGGTGGAGTGGGAGCTCCTTTGTTTTACAGGGACGTCACTACCTGAACTGTGTTGTTCATTTCCAGGCATCTTTGTGATTCAGCCTGGGAGGCATCTATATTCACAAGTTGCTATTACTCTGTATTTCAAAAGGGAAACTGGATTAAAGTATAATTCTTTAGTTGTACTGAGATGGGGTTGATTTCTTTCTTACAGAAATAGGATGAATTTTGGCTCTGAACTGATTAGGTCCTTAATCTGGTGTGTAACTTGAAATTCAAGTCCACCACTTCCATTCAAACTAATAAATTATCCACATACACTGTTACTTTCCTGTTTTTCTGGACTGGGTCTTTTTTAGAGCTGATCATTTAGTTTAATAAACATAATTCTAAGCATAATTTTTAGCCTGGTCTAAAAAGAAAGTGGGTTTAAAGGGTAAATTCTGTGGCTTCTGGTTTTTGTTGTATTTTTTTCTTTGCTTGTTTGCTTGTTTTTTTAAACCGAAAGCTTTCTGCTTCCCACTTTGGGACAAAATGCAGTTTTTTGAGGGATGGAAAGTCAACTCTGTCACAGTTCAAGTTTCAGCAGCAATGGCAACATTTGCAGTTTTGTTTGCAGTGATTTTTAACGGAATGATTATCTATCCTCTTGGATACATTTGTTTCTTGTAAGCACTCGATGCAGTGCATCCATTTGGCAAAAACCCCCTCATTGGGGAGTTACAATCTGCTGGTTTTGTTTTCTTCCTGAAGCTTGTAAAACAGAGTAAGTCTCAAGTTAAATTTATCTGAACCGACATACAAATGTTGAGTCATCAGACCCTCCTTCTCACACCACTTCCCAGGCATTCCTCCTATGGAAGACAGTCATAACCTGGTGTAGTAGAGGTGAAAATGCAGTCCCACATGTCAGCAGGATGTCTCCTCAGTCAAGAAAGAGTCAAGGCCACCTGGCCCTGAAGCCCTGATGTAGGTGATGCACAGTGACCCACTTCTCCAGCTTGGGAACCCTGGCTGATCTTCACAGAAAACAGCAAAACCAGGTCATGTACTTGCAGTGAAAGATTTAGGCAAAGGAACCACCAGGATGGAAAAGGGGTCTAGGTGATAAAGAAGCTGGGACTGTAATTCGTGTGGCAAGAGGATAAAGGTGAAGTTCAAAGACAAAGTTCCCCTTGAGCCTCTTCTCCCCCTCACGTGCGCTACTTAGTGCGACCCAGTTCCCCTTCTGGCTGTTGGCGCTGGCGAAAAGCACAGTCTGCTCTGAGCATCATCTTACTTCTAACTACTGGGCCCAAATGAGGCTCCCCATTTACACTTATGGTGAAACCTGGCCCTTGGGGTTAGATGGTGGGTTAACACCCCCTGCCTCTTCCCAGCAGTGGGTAGCTTGGCTGGAAAATGTCAGAACAAGTAGCTGGGCTGGCAGATGCTCTGCTGACTTCAGAGGAGGAGCAAAACCCTGGATCTGCAAATACTGGTAGCTGTCTGATTAAAAACCCTCCATGGAGAGATACAGATTGACAGATTAAAAAAATACATCTTTCTACAAGAAATGGAGAGCACAGCAAAGGCTTGATTTACACATGCACACCCAAAAGTTGTCACCAGCTTTGATACTTGTTTCCTTCCCCAGCACCTCACTGAAGGTGCAGAGCAGCGATCCAGGCTGTGCTCCCGGTGTGAGAAGTTCTCAGGATCTCACTGCAGCTCCTCAGCTGGGAGGCACGGGGCATTGCATGTCATGTCTTACTGCTTCAGCACTATGACAGGAACTGCACTCCTGAAATACAGAGATGATTGAAATGTTAATCGATTCCAGGAGAATGGCAGCAGCAGCAGCACTCGCCTGGCTGAAAGAAAAGCCCCAGGGCATTTACCTGAAGGTGGAGGAGGATTCTCCTTACACCAGCGTCAAAGCAGAGCAATTCCATTGATTTCAGCCGGGGTTTGTGCTTTTTTCTCCTGGAAGAGAGAGATGAGAATCTGTTTTCTATTCATTAGCACAGCCTGACATGGAGAAACTAATTTAACAAGATAGGAAGTCACCATGAAATAAACTACTAATATAAGTAAGGAAGCAATGACAGAAATTAGAATTACTGCTGCTATGCTTATGTTTGGGGAGATGACAGGATCCCAGCAGATCATTAGCAGGGGCCAGAGGCAGAAGTCCTTAGGCTAAATCTTGCCACTGCTCCCAGCAATTGCTTTTTACCCATCTGGGATTTTTTGGGTGAAAGGTCTCATACAAACAGAATGAACATTTTGTGACAGTTTGTGACTGTAAGTCAGAAGCATTGAGACCCTAAATACACAGGGCTTTGCTAATGCTAACAGAGCAATGTAGAGGCTGCTTTCCTCAATTTTGTTGTAGCTCCTGCAGCCAATAAACAGATCACAGTAGCTCACTGCAAAGATAGGTTTTCTTTACCCAGAGATGGTATTAGAAAACATCTCCGTATATAAAATCTGTAAAAACACAAATAATTAGTTATCTGATACGCCCCGAAATACTTTTCTCTGCAAACCCCCAACAGGAAGCAGAGCATGTGTAGTGACTAAAACCAATATTATTACTTGCTTAAACAGAGCAATGCATCCTGTTGTTGTAGAGGGTAAACTTTGACTGGAAAGGACTGTTAACTGCAGCTTCAAATAATTCTAAACACTTTTTCCTTTTTTTCTTTTTTTTTTTTCTTTGTTTTAATTTTATTTTTTTTTAAAGCAAGTTTTATTCACTTGTAAGCAACAGCTGTTGGCATATTTCCTTACAGAAGACACTGTTGTGTCCAGCTGTTACTCAACCACTCTCATTAAAGCTGCAGGAAACACAGTTCATCTTTTGCGTAGTTAGAAAGGACTTGGCATCCCAGTTACCCTGGAAATTGAACTTGCTGCTGGACAGAAAGCCACAACTCACAGGGGAAAATAATAGTTGATATATGAGTGTCTACCTAAAGACTAATCAGCAAAACAAACAACGTATGAGGAAAATGACCCCCATTACGTTGTTTGGAGCACGTTAGTCACCAGTATCCTCTTGCTTCCTTTTGTTCTAAAATACTAAATCACTGCTCCTCACCAACTGAGTTGAGAATGGGTTAATACAATCTGTTGAGTAAGAAATAGAGCTGCTTTATTTCACAAGTGCCTGATGTTGACCATGTGCCTATTGACTGCCAAGGGCTAGTGCTTCAGGCTAGCACTTGATTCCAGGTGTTACTGCACATCATGCAGTGCTGAGGGTCCTGGCAAGCATCAGCACCATGGAAGAAGGACATGAGAAGCAGGATCAAGTTTGCTTTGTGCATGGTCCCAACATACCCTGTGTGGTTTCCTGCCCTATTCACTGGGTCAATGAGCACACCTTTCAAAGTGTTATTTTCTCCTACCACTGGTTTTATAGCATTGTATTTAGGCAGGATAACTGGCTAAATAATGCAGTGAGATGAGCCTCCCTGGAGCTGAGGTAACTGCACTGACTCTGACTTTCAAGTTAATTAGACCAATGCTCAACCAAGAGCAATAGCTCCTCCATGCCAACTGCATGATGTACAAATAATAACCCTGGATGTTTTCTTTCTTCTCCACTGAGAAACTATGGGTAGAATATTCTGGACACCAAGTACTACAAGACATGTGTCACAAACAAACGGAAGTGGCCACAAGATGAATCCAGGACCCATTGATGTCAGTGGAAGTTTTTCTGTTTGTTCCACCACGACTGGTGGTTCTCCTGTCCCCAGTCCACATGCAAGATAGGACAGAGTGTGCCTTTGTGAGTGGTGTGACTTCTCCTTCAAGGTGGTTAACTGCTGTTTATTCTCAAAAAAGCCAGAGCATCTCTTAGTTGTCAATGCATGCTGCTCTGTGTGTGTGCTTAGCTCTGAGACTGGCAGCCCCTTTTCTTTTTTTGGTCATAATTAGGCTCTAATCTCTAGCAAATTAGCTTGATTGCACATAGCCACTTTTATTAGCCAAAGTTCTAACTAACATATTGTGCTTAAAGCTTTCTGGCCAAAAAAACTAAAACTAAAACTAAAAATGATCCTGACTCCCCACTGCTTCACACCAGGCTCCCTCAGACCAACAGCGTTTACTAACACACAAGCTTTGGGGGCTGTTGGCAGCTCTGCCCTACACCCACTGCAGTGCAAGGGCATGTGGCTTACTGAACTGGAAACCACTGCCGGAACAGCCCATTTTGATGTGTAAACCAGAGGAAAGGTCAGCATGCTGCAGAGCAGACAGGCACTGACACCAGTGACGTGTGTGAGAGCTGGAAAAAACATCAACCTCTGTGGGTGAATATGATGACAAGGCAGTCTGGTGCTTGGCTGCTCTGGCAGGTCTCTTCCTTCACCCTCTACACTGCTCTGGGCTACCCATTATGGACACCCATTCCTATGAGCCAAGAGCAGCTCTGGCAGGAGTGTAGGGGTTGTCAACCTCTGTTTTTTGTTTTTATGCTTTTGTAAAAGTAGCTGTTTCATTGAAAGAAAGGAAAGAAATAAACAAAGAAAAATCCTCAGCCCAAACCCTAAAACATTGTTTTGAAGCTTTGAGAAAAATGCTGTTTTCTTCCCACCCCCCCAGGAAATGACTCAGTACTCAGTAGAGAAACATCAAAAAAATAAATATATCAGCTTAGTATAAAAAAAATAATTTAAAAAACCCCAAATCCACACCATGAGGTCTGCAGCTGGTTTGGCTGCATGATTGTCCTATCAGTGGTCTTCCCTTGTCTTGCCTCTTCTCCTTTAGCCTCCTACCCCACAGCTGGGTCTCCTCCACTCCCTCTCTTTCCAACTGCTACTTTTTCAAACAAATCAGTGCTATTAAAAGTCACCAAAAGGCCAAGCTCCAGCTCCTTCCCCTCATCTCCTGGTGTCAGAAGCTCCTGCAGAGCTGCCTCTTGGAGCTCGCCTTCTCTTTCCTCAGCCATGGCCCCTGGGATCAGAGCCATGGTCATCCTGGTCCTGCAGGAGCTCAGGACAGAGCCAGGGCTGCTTTCAGCAGACCTGCAGGAGACAGAATCTTCTCCTCTCTTTGCCCTGAGGCAATGATTTGGTTGTCCCAGCAGCAGGCTTTCTTAAGTTACTACTTACTGGTTGTATTCTGTGGATATATCCTTTAAACCCCTTGACTTTCCATGTCCTGAACAAGAATGCCAAGATTTTCTGTGATCACTACCCACCCAACACTTTCAGCTGTGGCCATCCATCAGCCACCACAGAAGCCCAGGATGGATGACCATGCTTGGACACTGTGCCATGGCTGGAGATTTCTGAGTTACTCTTTTAGCCTCTCTGACTCGGCACGGGGCCCTGGGGAAGGGCTGCATCACACTTGAGAGGGAGCTGTGGGAATAGGCTGGAGCCTGGCCAAGCTTAGCAGCTCCCCCAGCAGCTGTAGCTGCACACCAGGGCAGAGCATGGTCAGGGGTAAGGAGCTCTTAGCAAAGCATGAGTGTGCATCTGGAGTGGATCACAGGCCTGACTTCATTTCCTTCCTCCTAGCTCCCTTGCTGGTTCTGCCTGGCCACTTCGCTCAGGTCAGGCTGTTATCCAGTTAGTACCTAGTTTCCTCAGGGCAGAGACACAGATAGCACTGGCCTTCCAAGGGGTGGGATAGCTAGTAATCACTCCAAGGAGCCTTTACAGGCTCCACACTCTCAGGAGCCAGCAGGTCTTCCCAGTGTCATCTGGAGAACGTGCAGAGCTGATGGAGCAGCAAACTGGCACTTCCCTGTTATACCTGCCTGAACTGGAGACCACAACCAGTGAAACAGAGAGGAAGATTTCCATTCCCTTGGCCCATGAGGCTCTCTTAAAAGCTGGAGACAGGAAACATTATCTGTTAAGGACCGATCAGTATTTGTGATGCATCTCCTCTGGAGGCTCCCACTGACATCCTGCTCCTGTTATTCTGGGCACAGTCACCAGATTGAAAACAGTCCTGGCCACAAAGACTTTGCAATTGAACCCACCTACATGAATAAACAGGACCTGTCCCCTAAGGGACTTGGCTCTTCCCATTTAGCCAGGGCCAACAAGGCTCACTGTACCTGTGCAGTCTGCCCAGCCATGTCCAACAAAAATCCCTGCCCACTGAGTCAGTACCTGGAAGGAGAGCAGCAAAGCTGTAGGAAAATCAGCCCTCCTTTCCCTTCCCAATAATTCCTAATTTGATTTATGGTTTTTGTGCTTAACCTCACCTTCTTTCTGATTCCCACAGACAACAAAGCTAGATAGACACCAGAGCAGGGTGAGAGAGAAGAAGGACCTTACCTCAGGGTCACAGGGGGCAGGTCCACAGCACAGCCCAGGGCTGAACCCAGGTCATCTGAAACTCAGACCTGCACTCAGTCAGCTGAGCAACATCACTTCTCCTGTTTTGCCAGCCTGCAATTTTTTACTTACGTATTTAGGAAATGGTTCACTTGATTTTTCAGTAAATACCTGCTGCTGGTAGTGATGGCATTGCAGAGTTACTTGACTGTAGCTGTGCTCCTGGCAGCTTCTTGAACAAAGGCTTAAAAAAACGCCTCATTAAAACCAGGCATCTGCTCTGGTGGCTCTCCTGGTAAGATACAAGGCAAATAAAGGAGTTTTTATTTAGATTCTACCAGATCTCCCCGTCTTAATCACATATTTTATGCCTCTCAAAACCTTTACCAGGGTACATAAGACAGTGTTTGTTTTCTAGGAGAGGTCTAGTTGCATTTCAGCTGCCCATATAAAACAACACCTTAAGTTGCTAATTCATTTGTGATTTGTGATAAAAATGTCAAAAAACTAGATATGCAGAAAAGCTTTGCCAGATTCCATAGATACCATCAATAATCAGTCCCACTTTCAGTTCATTTGCTTGGCTTGGATGACACCAGACTTGTGTTTGTTGTACTTAGGAGGGATATGGAGGAAGAAAATAATAGGAGAGAGAAAATAACCATTTATGGAACGTTCCTGAATTAGGGTTTTTTTTGTGTGTTTAAATGAAAGGAAAATTGTTTTGTTGAAGCAATTTTCTGGGGTTTTCAAGTTGGAATAAGAAGCTCCCAAACCCTGCAGGCCTGTCTATCTGTGAACATGTACTGCTTTTTCTTGTGGAACGAGAGAGACAGTTAATTGCCAGGAAGTGGAAACTGTGCTATAATATCTTGACCAAAGTGTGTATGATGAAGAGCTGCTTGCACCGCTGGACTTGCAGTGCTAATAACACACGTGTTACCATGTGCTATTTAGAAGTCACCTGTAACTGGAGGACCTGCGTGCTGTTGGTGTGGATCAATCATTAATCAAAAGCTGGCAGCTGAGCCCAGGCTGGTGCAGTGAGGGCAGTGAGCTAGGGCAGACAGGGGAGTGAGCAGAAGCTCTCCCCATGCCAAGTGCTGCCTGTGCTGATCCACCCCTGGAGGCAGCATCAGCATGAACCAGATCCAGAGCACACAGGGACTTGTGGCTGCCTGGACCTGGCATCCTTCTCTGGTCTGAACCAAGACACCAGGGCAGAAATATCTGACCTCAGGATCAGCCAAGCACGTGCACTACGTGGCATTAAGTGCTTATCAGCCTCTCGTTACTGAAGATGATTCTCCAATGTCTGCACACGCTTCCAAACCTGGAACTGCCTGGGTTTGTTCCTCTCCTGTTCCTCCCAGAAGGTATATGTGTAGTCAGCACTATTTAACTATTCCCAGGAAGAGATGAGCTTTCCTGACAGGAAATCAGCGTTTCATCCCCACCCAGAAAAGTCAGCAGGACTGGATGAAATCCACAGCCTGAAGTCTGTATGTGATCCCAGGGGCATGGCTAGTGAGCCTGGCCTGTATCAGCCCTTTTGGTCCAAATGAAGCGTTCATGAAAAAAGACTTAAGCCTCAGGATTTCTGTACTTTCAGTGTGAAACAGGAAGCCAAGCCTGGTTCAGCTCCCCCCAGCCTCTTTCTTTCCCTTTGGCTTCCTGCCTTTGTCTGGCAGAGGTGGGGTGGCTGCAGGAGCCCAGGAAAAAGGGAAAACTTTCTCTTCTTGCCCAACATGCCTATTATTTGTAGCCCTTTCAGGTATTTTCCAGCCCATATATGTTTTGCTTGGATGTCTATACACGGACCCACATGTATGCATTTACACATGCACACACCCCTACTTCAGATGTGTATTCCTGCACCCACACACACTTGTATGGTGACCTTGACCCTTCAGGAAGTGTGTCAGACTCATTTCTGCCATGCTTATATATTTCTATCAACAAACACACACAACTCCCAACTCTTTTCCTGCAAAATGACAATGCAGGAGGGTAGGATGGACACATAATGGGAGCCCAGCCTGGTGCTGTGCCACAGACTGGCACCACAACATGAAAGCAGGGAGCAAGGGGTGGCCAAACTGGGCTTGTCTTTTCTTTGACAGTCATATAACACAGCTCGTCACAGCTCAGCTTCTAATTGCTGTCTCCATCCAGGAAGGACCTGAAACACCTTTTTGCAACAGCAGGCCTTCAGGCCAGGGTCTCAGCCCACCAGCTTTGCTTAGTGCACCACAGCCCTGGATGCCCTGAAGCAGCTTTCAACACCCTGCCTCCCCTCTGGGCAAACCCTGGAAGCAACCCAGCCTCTGGAAGCTGCTTTATTTTGTGTCAGCAGTACCAGTCCCCTGTGCTGCCTGCACATACCGTGCTTTGGTGTCACAAACACATGCCCTTCCTGGACTCCTCTATTGCTTGGGAGACCCTGGGTCCAGCAGTAGGTTCCTGTAACTGTAGATTTTCAGCTGCTTAGGTTGGCTTTTCTTCCCTTTCCTGTTCCTGGGACAGGCCAAGGCATCTGGCTTTCATTAGGTTTCAGTGCCCTACTCTAGGAAGCAAATTCTAGTTTGAGAAGGGCCTTTTGCTTTTCACATCTTGCTTTGAAGAAACTACTGTTTAACAAAAAAAATGTTTTCTCATCCAATGTCATCAGTGGTAATGCTGCAAGGCTGCTTCCAGCCTGCTGGAAACTGGCCTCAGGGAGACCTCAACACCTGCTCATGTCCTGCCATGGGCTGGGGCCTCAAGATAAACCCTCCAGCGTCATCCCTGTCAGCAAAATTAGGCTGCCAACAGCCACCTGGTTGGGAGGGGCTGGTGAAGCACATGGCATCTCCTGGTGGAGCTGGCACAGCTTCCAGCCCACCTGCCACACTGTGCAGGGCTTTCTGCCCCGGTAAAGCTCATCTTGGTTCCTGGTGTAACACACAGGAGAGGACCCAGACCTGCTCACCCGGGTGAACTGAACGATTTAACCAACCTCCTAAGACCCAGGAAGAGCTTTCATCCCCTGCATCACTAATGCTGGGGCCCAGCACAGCCCCAGTGAAATCCAGAGACAAATCCAGACCAGAAGGGCCTGGAGATGAGAAAGGGGAGGGCAAGGAAGATGAGGAAAATCATGAAAGAAATTATCCCAGTAGAAAATCCAGATAAGAAATAAACCATGAAATCTCCCTACCCAGGATTTGCTCTATGAGAAGTATCTGCTCTCAGCCCTGCCAACATGGACATTTTCTTCAGCATCCACCTCTCAAACTTCCTTGCTGCCCACACTAGGCATTGCTTCTGAATTAACACTTCATCCATTTCTGAACCATCCTTCATTTCCTTCCCTGGGACAGAGACTGCCTTTTTATTTTTACTCTCCACTGCCTAACACGATAGCACGAGTGGAGCTTGCAGGCTCCAGCACAACCCCACTGAGCAAAGAAAAGAATACATTATCAATAATCAGAGCTATAACCCAAACTGAGCTGTCCCATTGTGCCTTTTTGCAGTGCTTGGCTCATTACTTACTGCTGTCTTTAAGACTCCAGACCAAGAAGACTTCTGTGGACCTTGAAGGCAGCATGGGATAAGCTTGCTGCAAGTGACACAGAAGGTGAACGTTCCTCTTTCACGTTGTCCCCCTGCA